ACCCTCGGGAACCCCTGTGGTCAGTTGATGTGCTTTGGATAGCTCACCTCTCCATGCGACCCTGAAGGACCTACCTGTGAGATAGGACTCAAACCAGTGGAGGGAAGTAATCTGTTTCCCAGGCTGTCTCAGTCGAACAATTAACACAGCACCCTCAAATAATCCGACAATCGGTGACAAATCGAAACTAGGCCTTGGCCAGTGACTTGTTGTATTGTCGTGTGATTTATACGCTAAAGTGAGTTTTTACGTGCATATGATAGCCTACGCATTGGTTGGTTCTGGTATGTTTAGGTGTGGGGTGTTGTGTGTGTGTATTATACGTTTGGGTAGAATTAGTATCAAGTGCAAGCGGAAAACTGCGTCTCATATGCACGTAAAAACAAATCGGTTACCTAACGTAACATCAGTTCTCTCTAGATGAGGGAACGAGTATTGTGTAAGCTAGCTTGCGCTACGGGAAAGATTAATCTTTTCTGAGATATTGAAGCCATAAAAATTTTCCTAATTTTTGTATCCATTGTCAACGCAGTGGAGCAGCTGCAGACCAGGAGCGGATAGCTAGTGAGCTCATTGGTTGCTCTGCGGCAAACTGCTGCAGCCTATAGATGAACTCGCGTGAACTCATGTCCAATGAAAGGCGCTTGTATTTAATGGCCTTTAATGGGGGACCCCGGGGAGCCCTTATAAGTGGGGAATAATGTATATATGTGGCCGGCAAGAGTGCAGGCCAGTGTGTGTGTGTAATACATAAGCACATAGTGGGAGGGAAACACAGAGCGGCGGTGCTAGTCTGTGTGGAATGTGTCCCATCAGTGCACCTCACCAGGAGAGCTGTAGCGTATTAGACCACTAGTAATTTCGCCTGCATGGCGGGCACTTCCAGATTGTAAAATCTTACGAAGGTGGAGGGGGAAGCCCATCCCACTGCCACACGTATGTCGTGAATGGAAATCCCGCTGGACCATGCCCACGATGAGGCCATGCCTCTAGTGGAGTGAGCCCTAATGCCCAGGGGGCATAGCAGGTCTTTTCACGCGTATGCAGCAGGAATTGCGTCCACTATCCAGTGTCTGTTTCGAGGCGGCGAGACCTTTAGTGCGCCCTCCAAACGAAACAAAAAACTGCTCTGAAAAGACGCAGTGCTCGTATTATACAATCTCAGTGCTCTAACTGGGCAGAGGAGATTGGCGTCGCATTCACTATCGGATGCTAGCAGAGCCGATAGGGAAATGACCTGAGCCCTGAACGGGGTACCGATCACTTTGGGGACATAGTCGTGTCTAGGCATTAAAATGACCTTGGAGTCGTTTGGTCCGAACTCGAGACACGCAGCGCTGACAGAAGGTTGGCTCCCCCTGGCTACTATCTCGCCTAGGAGGCTCATGTTATAGGCCCATGGGCCATCATAGGCATGTTTGTCAAAATCTGAGAACTTGCGGTTTCTTCATTCGCATCCATTGTAATCTGAGCTTGAATTTGACCAGACTCCCCTGCCGATCGTCACTTCTGGTTAGTTCTTCATAGACGTGGGTAGCCTGGATGCCAGCCCGAACTCCGCCCACAACATTTTTTGGTCGGGAAGTTCGGTCTGGACTCGATCCATTGAGGAGTAATTATGATCAGACAAGAAAAGTTCGGGCCAATCAAATTGCCAGGGCGGGCTTTATACGATGATGGACAGATGATCTGCAAGGACGTAATCATCACGTGATCAAAGAGCGCTTAACTGATTTCCCTCAGAGATGACTGCAGCTGGAGAGATGTATAGATTCCGTTGTCACGTCTGTTGTAAAATAAATCGATAGCGCAAGATATTTTTGGCGTCCTTCCTACATGATTCGGGAAAAGTGTAACTTCTCAGCTGGCTCTGACAGTCGCTAAGAAGATGGGACGTAATGAAAAGCCTGTGGTTGTTGTGGTTTTGTTCTTTGGTCGCACTCACTTCTAAAATAAGTAAGTTCTGTAAAGTAGTTGACTTACTGCGTTGCTCTGATTGGTTGTAGGTCTACCGACTATCCAATTGAGTGCAGAGGGTTTTTTTTTTCCTGGTTCGGTTACGACACCAGGCCTCATAATCAAAGCCCTACGGAGCGGTTTCAGACTTATATTCTCACTCGAATATGAGTATGACGAAGTCAGGCTAAGACGTAGGAGTTATTTTATCACAATTTTTCTCAAAATATCGTTAATGGCTAAATATTACTCCAGTTCAGAAAATCTAGTTGTTTTATCATCAACATACACTATGCTACAGTATATAGGGGTGTCTAACCTGCATGTTGCTCTTAAAAGCCTCAAGTCAGTTGTGTATTTAGAAAGATTGTGCATGTTTAAAATTTTGATCTGCTGTTTTCGTAGTTGTGATATCCAGTCAATTGCGGGTGCTCCGCGCTCATGTAGGCCTATATATCCCACCGAAAACAGCTTTAGGCTACCTCGGCTAGTTCTTCTGATGTTTGTCGCTGGCTCTGATGTACCTTGGGGTTCTTATGCATCAAAACCATGGTCAAAACCATAGGTCAAAACCGCCGCCATCTTGGAACACGCTGCTATCTCTGCCTGTACTTTGAATTCATGGATTTTCAGACTTTTGTGCTGCGTGTGGATGGTCACACGAACAAAATCTGAACTTGGAAGATTGTTTAAAAAAATATATATATATATGTGTATTTTTATTTTCTCTGGACTCAATGAGAAATACATGTCTGATCATTGGAACGAACCAAAAAAACTAGAAAATCGCATTCATGACTATGGTGCATTTATTTCTTTTGAGAAAGAAGAGGCTTCCCTGTTTCATGATGGCGGCATTCATTCCAATGAACTGCCGTAGCCAAGGTGATCTAGTGTATATAAGTCTATGGCTGGGTCTGATGTCTCTGTATGTATGTAATGGTTAACCGGTACAGTAGCACTAGCCCCCCCGGAATATGAAAAAAAAAGCCATGCTGTGGTAAACAGTAAAATGTGAGAATGTTAACATGCAAGTTGCAACTCTGTGTAATTTATACTTTTGTTTATTTTTACACTGTAACAGGACATCCAAGGTTTCTTTAAGAAGAAACCATGTCAGAGACAGATTTCATGCGGAGAACGTTCGCCAACACACACACACTCAATGTTGGTGTTGAGAATAAAGCACGTTAAATTAATGTCTAGGAGATGTTTTTTATTACAGTTTTTTTCAATTGCTAAACGACAGTGAGCACAACTGGAGCTACATGTGCAAAACTCTAACTCCAGTCTGCACAGCAGCCGTTCATGTGGACCAAACTCTAGCTCGTTTTTCATTGATTGAACACAGTTTTCAAAACTGTACACACTTATCCCATGACTTTAACGACAACCTGCACAACACTATGGATTTACAGCACTTTGTTCAAATGCTAACACACTGCTGTCAAAACTGTGAACCACACATTCAAAACAGAATAAATTTCAGCCTTGTGCCTTTCACACACTGCTGATTTTCAAACAATTTCAGCTGAAAGGCTGAAAACTTGTGGCATAATGCTTGATAGAGGCAGGGGGTTACAGTATTACAGTATGTACTTTTAGTTTACAGTAAACCTTTTTTTCTCATTACTGTCATTCTGTAAATTACTACAGGCTATATAGACTATGGGCTATATGCACGCATAAATTCCGCATTTGACGCAAGGATACTCGTCCATTTCCAGTTGTAGAGATTAAAGCGGAGGAAAACCGAGGAAAACGGGATGGCAGTCTTCAAAATGTACTGTCCTCCAGTCTTTGAAATGAAACGTACATACTGTACGTTTAGATGTAATTTTATATATAGTTATATTTATTTAATATAATTTTAAAAAGAAGCATAAACACAACGAGGGGTGTCTGTTTTATCTGTTTTTGTGACTAACGTTTCTTTAGTATAACCATGGAGTATAAAATTCAATATAAATTCTCGGTATTGCATTGGACTCTACGATCGGCGGAAGTTATCGAGCATCCTTACACCTTCAACGGAAATACCGCCGTGCATAGAGCCCATTGAAACAAACTGCTAATTTTCAATTGTTATGTTCTATAAATGTATATAAATCAAATTACTGTAAAGAATGCCACTCCTTTCTTTGAATAAAATATTACTTTGTATGAAGTCACTGAAATTGTTGAAACTGGAAAGATGAAGAGTTTGTATTTTCTGTATTGGTGTTTGATGCTAGTGTTTTTCCTCTCAGTGTGTTCTGAGTGACAGTGTGTGTTATCTCAGTGAGGGTTGTGCATGTTGTGCACACTGAGCCTGTTTTGAGCCGTGTGTTACAGTAAGAGTTGTGCTCAGGTGACTGTTGGTAATGCAGACTAGTTAGAGTTTTGCACATTTAGCTCCAGTTGTGCTCACTGTCGTTTAGCAATCGGAAAAAAAAATGTAATTATAACAAAACAGTGTGGTCTAATCCATGTCAGGCTCTTGTTTAGTGTCACATTTAATAACATATTAGGACACTGGGCATTGCAAATATATATATATATATATATATATATATATATATATATTTATATATATATACTTGTATATATATATAAGTAGGCTATATGGGGTGTATTGTATATGCCTATATATATATATATATATATATATATATATATATACAATACACCCCATATAGCCTACTTTTAAAATGGCTATTATTGATCACTAAAACTGACGTTTAACAACAAGAGAAAGGGTTGTTAAGGTCGCATTTCATTTTATAATCAGAGTAGGCTATGCATATTAATGTTTTATATTTTTAAAATGTAAAGAGCAGGTTGTTTTATTATGTTTTGTTATATGCATGTAGGTAGATAGATGCTTTACGGGGTTTTTTAATGAAAAAAAAAAGAGAAAGAGTGCTGTTTTTCGTTTCCATATGGAATGGAAAAACATAATTCGTTTTATTGTTGACTAAAATATACTGAGAACCGGAGTAGCCAGAGCTGAGAGACCACTTAACGCTGCAGTTCCATTGCAGAAGTTCATTCTCCTCAGAGCCGTTCTCCGAGTCGAACCTGGCTGACAGGTCCAAACTTTGCGTATACTTTCAGAAACGCCCATCTCTTCAGATCACGGAAGCAGGAAATGCTGGTTTCTGGTGCACCTGACGCATTGTCAAACCATCTAGTTAAAACATAGCAGGGTGAAATAATTCGTTCAGCCATCGGTAAGATACAACATTTCTTGCCTACATTTTATAATAAATATATAAGTAACGTTAGGCCTATAGGCTACCTAACTTATGCGGTGCTATACTTCGATTAATAGATTGATGTTTCAGAATAGAGATGGAAATTGTAAGAATTAGGCTAGATTTGATATTCCATAACGATTAGCTATTTTAATACAATTGAGGGCGAAAAAATAACGTTTACGGAATATAACGTTAACGTTACAGCCTTCAGCAGGTGTTGCCAATGACATCATTTCAACAGACAGATAACAAAACATAAAAGTAGGCCTAATGCTGTTCTTGTAAAATATTTGTGTACCTAGAAGTTTATTTTTTTTAACAGCATGTTAATAACATCACAGAGTTCTTAGTTTATGTATATTTCAGACATGTCGAAATTGATTAATCAGTATGTGAGTCAAATATATCCAACTGATTCACAAGTGTTTTGATTAAAGAATCGGTTCAAAATAGTTTCGAAATTCATTTAAAAGAACCGACACAAAAGATTCGTTTGGGAATCGAACTATTGTCGAACTGCATATGGCGTTAAATAGCCTACGTTTTGCTTCTTAAACTTAATTAGGCTTATTAATTAGTTATAGTTTATGATTTATATATGTTTTTAATGACAGGTTAATTTTAATGATCTTTTCAAACGAACTTTTTAGGTCACCATGTCAGAGAGAGATGAGGAAACATTCAAGTCTGTGGACTTGAAGCAGCAAAATCAAAAGTCTCCAGTCTTGTCAGAGAAAGATGAGGAAACATTCGAGTCTGTGGACTTGAAGCAGCAAAATCAAAAGTCTCCAGTCACATCAGAGAAAGAAGTTGAAACATTCAAGTCTGTGGACTTGGAGCAGCAAAATCAAAAGTCACCGGTCACTATGTCCGAGAGAGAAGATGAAACATTCAAGTCTGTGGACTTGAAGCAGCAAAATCAAAAGTCTCCAGTCACTATGTCAGAGAAAGACGAGGAAACATTCAATTCTGTGGACTTGAAGCCGCAAACTCAAAAGTCTCCAGAACCAGACATCTATCCTCAACAATCTCCCAGTGAAACAGAAAAACCCAGCACACCTGCTTCAGAGGCCAAGGCAGAAACCACCCCCTCTCCACGTGTCTCAGCGGTCAAATCTAAATGGCAAACATCTACACAACAGTTTAAAGTCAAGAAATTTTTTGTCCTCAGGGTAATGTTTACTTTTTTTAATTCTCATCAAAGTCTCTGTTTTCTGTGTTGACTGCAAATCGATGTTCTACTGTGTTTGTAATCATTCTGACACATAATCTACACTTCTTTTGTATGTTGAGTGGTGTGGGGTAAACAAACCACGGTTGTTCTGCTGCAGTACAATAGAATGAGGATATTCATACAACAGGTGTGGTCAGCAGCACTTGCCTATTCAGCAAACAATGATAGTCTTAATACTCTTCACTCATCTAGTACTGACATGTCTGCCAATATTCAGTCATATATTCCTCGCCTGCAGAGATCACTGAAAGCTGTCTTCCTGTTTTCTGTTTCCTCAGTCGAGCTGAGGACATTTGAATAGCAAATAATGTCTGTTGGCCAGCTCAAAGACCACATTTTGTTTTGTGAAAGTGGTGAAATGGGATCACTCATCCCTCAAAACCATTTTCCCACTTACTCTAAAATAGAATTCCATTTTTTATGACTTTTAAAAAAGAACTATATTGTACTGTATTGTGTCTGGTATTGTAATCAGTGGCATCTTTGTCTCTGTATCCCTGGTGTGACACAACACTAACAAAATAATATAATTTTCATAGTAGTTAGAAATTAAATGTTATAATATTTCGAATTAAATAATTTCAAATAAATAAAACGGACTCGCCAAAGAATGTTGCCTCTAGGTTATTTGTAGGAACTTTTCAGTATACAGTACATCTGGCATACAAAGCACATCGAGGCTGACATTCTTTTAAAGTTTTTGTCCATTTCAGTGTTTCTTATATGGACACAATGTGCACAAGAACATGAAATGCTAACATTTGGTTTCAAACACACCCTTTTGTGAAACTTTTTTTATATGAACACTGGAAGAACATTGTGAACATGACGTTTTGCACTTCTTCAATGATTAACTGAAAAAAAAATGTGTACAGTTACAGTTTATGGCTTCAACATCACAGACATTGTTTAACAAATAGTTTGTCTAAATAAAATTGTCTTGTTAAAGGAACTCAGAACAAGTTTAGTTTGCAGAAAAGAATATTTTAAAATGCCCCACTGGCCCCTAATGCACAGATGTCACTGGTTGTGATATTACTTGATGAAGATTAATTGTTGTGTTATGTCACATTTTAGCCTGGAACATTGGACCATGGAATTGAAGATGTTAAATCTCTGGTGGATCCCACAGAAGATGGTGCTGTCCAGAGTGTTTGGCTCATGGCTGAGTAAGTGTCTTTCTTTTTCAAAAAACAAAACAAAAAAAAAAACAACAAATTGGAACACTCTTGTTTAAGAGCACTTTTGAAGTAACCAAATATCGACTGCTCTGCTAATGTGCAACATTCATGTGGAGTAAGAGAATCTCATTTAGTTCTTTCACATGGCACTCACTCCAGAACACAATCCATTATCTTGCTCTGTGTTCTGTAAATAAGTAAAATGTACAGGAAATAAAGTGAAATAAACAGGGAGCAGAATGGAGCTGCTAAAATACATTTTGATATATGTGTTGACAGATGACAACTTCTATCTGTCTGTGAGCAGGCTTTCAGGAAACAGTTTGAAGGCCTTGCTATGTGATAATTAATAATATATTATATTTCCCATGCTCCAGACTAGTACCCAGAAGTACACACACACACACACACACACACACACACTTATTTACAGATCTGTGGTTTGAGTTTAGGATTGAAACAAAAGTTGAAGTTCATGGAATTCATTCTTTTTGACTGATACATTTATTATGTTAGACATTGTAAGAAATAGCTTTAGCTGTACCTTGTCTTTTTGTGCTGTCAAAACAAAGACACTTGAAATGCATAATAGGTTAGTTGCATTAAATTACCTTTAAATAGTCTCGTATTCCACAGGTATGCATTATTAAAGGATTCCTATAATAATTAAATGCATTATATTGCCCTGTGCATGCCCTCACATTGGCCCTCATTTATCAAAAGTGCGTACACCAAATTTCCAGCGTACACCCAAAACCACGATGACTTTGAGATTTATCAATATGGACGTTGGCGTATGGCACGCTCAAATCCTACACCAGCCAGGAGGTGGTGTACGCACATTTTGAGTTAGTGAGGAAATGCGCAGAAAAATTCCTAACACCACAAACCGCACTGGCAAACTAAAAGATATGATATGTTATTATGACCCTCTGTAAAAAATAAAATAAACAAACAAAAAACAACAACATAGTAGGCTAATTAATTATAAACTTCAGTGTTTATTTTTGTGCAACATGGAATTCAATGTTTTATTTGTGTGACTTTACCAAAGCATTTGATTTGTTAGCATATGTATTCCTTCAGTTGCGAGCCTGTGGACTTTACCCTGCCGTTTCAGGATTGGCTATCCCCGGCAGGTGCGCACGGACTCGGTTCGGTAATGAAAGGCTTTCAATGACCAAAAATAATTCAGACTGACAAAATAATAAAAAATACATTCTTCTTCTTTTAAATGATAATAATAATACAAATCATAATGACATCTTTCTTCTAAATATCAATAAGCGTCATTAAATCATTATAAGAAGAATATTACAAATTGTCATGCAATTATTAATGTGAATGAATGGTACTTCACATCACATCATCATCATCACTATTATACGTGTGACGTGATTCGAAATTGAATGCTAATTTCAAAAGGCGTGCTGTAAAATAATGCATTGTGATAGGTCATTTCGGCTCCACATCGGAGAAGTTTCTCTTCTTTGCCGTCTTCCGTGTGTCCATGGCGTAAAATGAGGGCGTGGGGGGAGCGGAGACTTGAATATTTAGGGGCGTGTTATTTTAATGACGATCGTTTTCGGCCGTGGGATTTATCAAGGGCAGGCATTGCGTACACCTGGATTTCAGAGTGTTGTGTAAGCATAATCTTACACCAAAATATACGCCCGTTTCTACGCAAGAATGATAAATGAGGACCATTATGTGCATAATTAAAAATAAATGTAAAATGAGCTCATATAAAAATTTACAGTACCATGTGAAACTTTGATATACTGAATTGCTAAAAATGTTTTACTTTTACTTCCTCATACTAATTCATGAAGCATCACCATTTTATTACATTTTTAATAAAAAAAGATACAAAATTATCATTCGAAGCTTAATCACAAAGCCTTCTATGTGAACAGTCGTCCAACTCTTTGAAAACCTAGTAGTAATTTAGGGCTCCAGGCTAACATTTGGAGGTAGTAGCACTGATGCCACTAAGTTCTACAGATGGTGGCGCCAGCACCTGATTTGGTTTAGTAATTAGTTAATTTAATCTCAAAATGACTACTGTTTTGCATTGATAAGTACAGTTACTCATAATTATATTACATGTTTGTTTATTGGAAATTCAACAGTAAAGCACTGAGCTTGAATTGAGATGCAGATAAAATTAACTAGTAACCTAGTAAGACCCCTCTCCACAAGTCAATAGGTGCTGCTTTGCCACCATCTACTGGTTATAGTGGTAATTTCATGTCTTTTTTAATATAAACGCGTTTCTCTGTCACAAAATATTAGGGCCCTATTTTAACGATCTAATCACATGTTCTAAAGCGCTCTGTGCAAGCGCACTGAAATCCACTTTTGCTAGATGGGGAAAAATGGCCGGCACGCCAGGCGCATGGTCTAAAAGGGTTGTCCCTATTCTCTTAATGAGTAATGGGCGTGTTTTGGGCTTTACGTGCAATAAACCAATCATTCCCTTTAAATGCCAGTTGCGCTCGTGCCACGGTGGATTCGTGATTTACTTGAAAAAATTTGATAGGAAAGACTCAACGCGTCTCCAGAGAGCAAACGGATCTGCTCGTGCGCGAGATTAAAGCGTGCGAGCAGACCATCTACGGGACAAGCCGGATTCCATCACATATTTTTTTACACAATAATAAACGTGGCGCAGGACGTAAAAAAATGATAACTGCGTCGGGCTGGAAGTGAACTAGCAACTCGGGTCTCGTCTGGCGCTGCATTACGCCGAATGTATGATAGGGCCGACGATTTTCTTACATCTTTTAGTTTTAAAAATCATGACATTAATAATATTTAAATTGGATAATATTTAGAGCTTTGAAGTTCTTTAATAGTGTGAAGCACTTTAAAACTCTCAAGAGGTTTTAAGAACCATGAGATGCATAATGTAAAAAAAAAAATATAATAATAATAATTTCTGCCACAATACCATGGTTACAGTTAGCATTACTACATTAAATCTTTGGTGAATGTTGATTTGTGGACTGGAAAGCCTTCTATTACTTGTTCATTCATGGCACAATGTTTCTCCTGGTTTCCACGTCAGTGCTGTTTGTTCTGATATCTGTGAATTTGAATGCTTCCTACAAGATCTCCCTGTGATGCTGTGAATTCCCAAACTTTCTCGATGGATCCCCCAGCGCTATGTAATAATGGTGTCGCGTGTCTGCTAGTGCTACGAGCTGGTAAACGGTCCACACTACGTAGCTCAATCGAGTGACACAGGTTTCGTTCCACTTTTGTTTCATTTTCTGTTTGATTTGCTGTTGCTGGAACCAGTGCGACCTCTAACAAAATGTAGTCGCACTGGCAGGATTTTATTTTTTTCGCAAAATCCGACCATTCGGTCGTCTGGAGCACTGTTATTTAGTGGTAAAGGAAGACTGTAGAGTTTAACAAGTCTTGTGACATCGAGAGAAACTCTTACACCATGCTTGCAGTATTACATCCAAAGGCCCTGGGGCACTGCTGTGAGCCAGAGGTCCTGTTAGTGTGTGGTGTGTAAATGTTTGTGTTCTTTCATACCTATTGTACGTCCCCAGACCCACATATTCAGCCAAGGTGAAATTATTCCATTTGTCTTATCAGAAGTAAACAAGTAAAAAGTATACCTAAATAAGACACCAGGATGGATAAAAGCCCTGTATTTTAGTAAGATTCTCATGTGCTGTTTTTGTCACTGTCAAGATCTTGTGTTGTGATTAAGAGAAAATACATTCACATAGAAGTTTACACATCTGGATACAAGTCTTGTGTTTTTACCTTGTCATCACTGAGTAAGTTTCACAATTCCTTGCTGAGAGAAAGTTTTAAGAAATGAATAACATGCACTACATCTGTCTTTGTCTCATGGGCAGAAGCTTTCCATACACTTTTCACTCACTAATTGGGACGAAAGCTCTGACAAAAGAAATGAGATTTGGTGTTTTGAAAAAAAAAAAAAAAAGTAATTCATGAAATAAAAAGTAGCTTATGCATTTTCCAAAAGTAGCTTATGCATTTTCCAAAAGTAGCTTATGCATTTTTGACAGATGTTTCTGGGATCTAAAAATGTGGGCATACATATTTTAAGAAGAATGCCAAAGGCAATTGCAGATATTTTGTAGCTTTTAGAATATGTAGGCCTACATAATTGAAACCCACATGATTATAGAAAATTTTGGTGTGGATGAACTTAAAATAAAATAGTTTGGTCTCTTTTTCTTAGGCTGTAGGCCAAACAGACCTACTGCAGCTTACAAATGTGTAATGTTTCTAAAAAAAAAAAAAAGTATTAAGGGCTTCAATTGGTTTTTAAATTGAGGTCCAGGAAAATGCTAGGGGGTCTGTGAAAACTTTGAAATAAAAAAACGCATGATATTGGCAAAATAATCACATTTGCATATTTTTGTAAAAAAAAAAAAAAATCACATTACTTCTGACAGTAAATCAAGAATGCTTGAATGTTTCCAATTTTTTACAGACAGTATTCTGCCTTGAACTGTTCTCTTATATTGGGTAGAATAAAAGATACACTGTCAGTTTAATACAAAGTAAATATTTTCTACATAACAAGCTTGACATGGAAAAGTACGGAAGCCCTGAACCGCAAGCTGAGGAAAAAAAGAAAGAAAACTTATCTCGTTATTACAACATATCTCATTATTTCAACTTAAGTCGTTATTTCAATATCGTTATTACAACGTTATTTCGACTTAAGTATACGAAACTTACTGAACTTATAATAAAGTATACTACAAAAACCAGATAAGTCCAGAGAATGAATATTTTCTCTTTTCCTCCCATAGAAACTTATAAGAATGCTAAATGTAGCTTAATGTATTAGAATGCCCCTTATTATGTCGAAATAACAAGATATTTATGTCGTAATAACGAGATATTATGTCGAAATTCCAAGATATTATGTCGTAATCATGAGATATTTGGACGAAATACCGAGATATTATGACGAAATAACGTCTTAAATCCAAATAACGAGATATGTCGTAATAACGAGATATTATGTCATAATGACAAGATATTATGTTGAAATAACGACTTAAGTTGTAATAACGAGATATGTTAAAATAACAACTTAAGTTGAAATAACGAGATATGTTGAAATAACGACTTAAGTCGTAATAATGATATATGATGAAATAACGACTTATGTCGAAATAAAGAGATATGTTGAAATAACAACTTGAGTCGTAATAAAGAGATATTATGTTGAAATAACAAGATAAGTTTTCTTTCTTTTTTCTCACCTTGCGGTTTAGGGCTTCTGTAGAAAAGCCTGCTGTTGCCATTTAGAATAACTGGTATAGAAACAATACTGTGACAAGATTAATTCATCTACATGTGCCAAACTAATCTGTCAAACTCTAAATTAACATGTACAAGAACTTGTTTTAGAATCCTTCTGTGCTTGATTAAAGCTGTGGAAGGATTGTGAATGACAGATTTATGGGAATGTAGGCTGTTTGCTGGTGTAGTTACATTGATGTACTTTATGCAACACAGCAGAGGTCTGCAGTCGGGCCCAGTGGGGGACCCTTGCTAACATGTTTCAAATAATTAAACTCATGCTAATTAAAGATGCTGTAAACGATTAAGCACTGTGAAGTTCCTGCCAGACTGCCACAGACATACTGCTGAAGCATATTTCATGGCGAAGCAGCAGAACACTAGCACGTCATCTCAATGTTTTCAAAGTAGTCAAAAGCAGCTGTAGCAGAAAAGTAGCAACTGCTTATGAAGTTGAGTATTGTTCAAGGAGCTTCTGCATCATATATCAGAGCACTGCCAACGAGGCTTTGGTTCTGACATTGGCCAGAATTTTATTATTGTGCATTGTTACAAGTAATACCCATATGTTTAATGCTCTCTCCTTTTCCTGTGTAGGATCGATCATTGGAACAATGAGAAAGAGCGTTTGGTGCTCATCACAGAGAACACCCTTCTCGTCTGCAAGTATGACTTCATCATGCTTCACTGTGAGCAGATCCAGAAGATTCCACTCAACTTCATCGACCGTATCAGCCATGGTACCTTCTGCTTTCCACCAAATTCCCTCCTGAAGTGAGTAAAACCCTTTCTTTCATCAGTATCAGTTCATTCCTTGTTGAAGTTGTCCACATCTCCCTAATGCAACAAAAGGTTTCTGAACGTTCTTCATTTGCAAGCAGTTCCTTAACTTTTAACCATACATCTGATTTTAATAGTTTCAATCAACTGTAACCGTCAGAACCAAAAATACAAGCATGGAAAATGATCTATGCTCCACTGATTGTTATTGTGCCACCTGTTGTCATGTGTAATGAAGCCTTGTTCATTCGAGAACCCTCAGAAGGTCTTTTTCTTAGAAACATCTTCCACACTGGCTTATTGCCAGTTCTGTTAATCAGTTGTAAATTCCTCCCCACCTTTTGCATGTCATGCTTAATTGCATGATAAGAGGAAAGTCTGGGGAGAGATAGAGCACAAAGAGAGGTGCTCCATATGTAGATGACTAACTTGCAGGGCTTGTCGAGAATGAGAGATGGGCTCTTGTTCTGCTTCAGTAAAGGACATTGAGGATGTGATTGCAAGTAAAGAGAAGTCAGTGTTTCTTTAACTGCTTGGTGGTCTTAATAGTAGCTGGACACCTGGTTGAAAATAATTAGTTATCGAAAGGTTAAATGAATAGGACTGTTCAAAAGTTAAAAAAGTCAAAAGTTATTTTAAATTGTAATATCATTTCACAATATTGCTGTTTTTAAAATTGATTTATAAGTATCTTTTTGTTACTGTTATTGCACATCAAATACTGTTAATATATACTGTCAAATATACTGTTATTGCACATCAAAATTAATTAATTACTGAATAAGGTATTGGATTTATGTTAGTAACATATTTTTTTTCATAACTGAGTTGCCACTGGAGTACTCAGCTGTTCCAACTGTCATCAGTAACCTGTAATATTCTCACATTAAAGCACTTTGTATTTTTGTGAATATTTAAGCCAATGGCTTTTGACTCTCATTCATTTCTGTAGATTTCTCCATCCTCCATAAAGCCTTAAACAGACAAATGAGGAAAATCTGAGACCATTTTCCTTAACCGTATTAGCAGTTTTTACAGGGTGATAATACCCACAATGCAGCAGGATTTGACAAATGGTATCAGAGGGGAAGGAGGCCAGAGCCTCTTTTCTTCTCTTAATTTTTGTGTGGAGGGATTATGTGAATAGAAATGGGATGTAAGGAGGACTTTATAACGCAGGGAGGGGAGAGCTGTCAGTACAGCTCTTGTGTAACCGATTAGTGGTAGAAATTAATGTAGTCCTTTCATCCAAACCTTTTAAAGCTGGCTCAGGGGACACCAACCCAAGTAAAACTAATTTGATGAATAAAACGTAATGTGGCATGAAGTGCTTAGGAGAGGCAGGCCGTATTGGGCTGACTTTATCTCCCCACATTACATTCAATTATAAATAAAACGCCACTGAAAACCAGAAAGGCAAGCTTTAAAGCCACTCTCTTCCTTTTTCCTTTTCCTTCCATTTTTGCTTAATCATTTCTTTCCATCTCCCTCATTATTTTGTCTTTTCGCAAACTTAATCTCATGCTTAAGCTGTCAGTTGTTTATTTAAAAAAAACTGTGCATGCAGTTCTCCGCTCATGTTCTCCTATTTACTCACTTTTTACCACTTAAATATTATTCTTATTGATATACAGGCTGTCTTCAGCTTTAGTCACTGCTGTTGAGTCCTTCATTCTGTTATTGTCAGTCACCTGTTAGATGTTATTGTACAGAACCCCATTTACAGTACAGAAGTGGGACCGCAGAATGCTAAAAAAACTCAAAAAGGTAAACCTCAGTAAATACCTAACGCCACTGTCCTGCATCAGTCCGATGAATTAGTGAATATTGAGTGAATGGAATAAATCATACAGCAAATTGTGATGCCCCACATCACAATGTAGTTGCATGCATTTGTGCATTCAAAAGGAAAGTTAAGGTGTGTTCACACTTGTAGTTCAATTTTCTTGTTCTTTTGGTCAAAGAAAATTATACATTTAACGTTGGTTCACTTACGGCCGTTACATAGTCAACGCATCGGTACGCATACGCGTCCGCATGGCTATGCATCGCTACGCTTTGGCCGCCATTATGCGTCGATGCGTAGCCAAATGTGTCGTCCTAGTTTTTGATACGCGACGCACTGATGCTCGCAATACTATGCGTTATCGGTGGGGGCGACATTGCAAGAATTGTACATTAATTCAAATATATCATGTTAACAGAAGAAGAAGGTTTGAATACAATGGCGTGCGAGGAGGAATAATTATACGAGCTTATACCAGCATTTAATATCATCCGCATTTATACGACAGTTCACCACAATTAGTACACTCAAATAAAATTGTGTTGGAAAATGCCTGGAGAGAGGTTGCAATCGCGATGGGAAAGACAGAATCAGGTGAAAACGGACGGGAAAAGTGCCCGAGACAAATTTACCAGCCTGGTTATATGAATTAATGATTTATGGATATGAATTAATGAATTAAAATACCAAATTAGTAAAAATGTGTAATGGTTTTTACATAATTTAAATAATACCAAATAATAAAAAAATGTGTAATGGTTTTCACATAATACCAAATAAGTTAAAATGTGTAAAGTGTTAAATAAAAATAAAAAACTCATGCTTCAAATCGAACTTTTATCAATTTATTTGTCAGTGCTATCGTAGCACACTGTATTGGTGGGGAAACACGCCAGCATCTGATAAAAAGTAATCAGCCAGCTGCTCCCTGACAAGTGCCGCTCTCCGGGAGGGTCTGCTGCTGCCGACCGTAAACCGTGGTCCGTCGACCATGTTCTGGTCCCCCACAACGTGCTGCCTCCACTCCACTCTCCAGGCTGGACCTCTCCGGTGTCAGGCGTCGCATCCACAAAGGTGGCGGGCATGTGTCTGGCACGTTCAGTGGATGCCAGAAAGTTGTGGAGAGCCACGCACGCCTTCACGAGCTTCATCGCTTTTTCAGGTTTGCAGTGAAAAATCTACTACCCCCTGTTGCGTGACCAGTGTATTGCATTTTACGCATCGCCCGTGACGCTTGCGTCTGCTTTAAGGAAGCGCGTCGCTCGCGTCACTCGCGTTGCTTTCTCGCGTAGCTCGCGTTGACTATGTAACGGCCCTTAGCGTTCCCAGTGTAATTTTTAAAGGACACCTCTGGCACAAAATAAACCTTTGATCTAATAATACATTGGTACCCAGTCAACTGTTGTCTGAAATTTGTTTTCATGATAATCGAATGTAAAGAGTTTTATCTCTAAAAACTTTTTAGCTAGTATAGAGCATAGTATAGAGTTTATATAGTATAGTTTAGCTAGTATAGAGAAATGAAAAATAAAAATCGCTAGTTAATACCACTAACAAGGCTCAAAATAGCAACACAGTCTCATGAAGATGCGCATCTATAACATGAATGTCATTTCTCGTGGCATTAATACGCTAAAAATGTTTTTTTGCGTGCTTATGCTACACACTAAAAACCCTGGGATAGGTTTAGGGGGGAGAAGGTGGGGAGTTTGTGCGTATTATGTGCCAAAAAGTGCGTATCATATCCACGCGAAAAACGCGTACCATATACACGCAAAAACTGTTTTTGGCGTACAAATGCCACGAGAAATGACATTCGTGCTATAGATACGAACTTGATCGGGCTCCAGAATAGCCCCACACTAACACAGTAACATAATGAGGGTCTCCAAATGCAAACCGAAGCTTTGAGATTTTGTAAGTACAGGCAGTTTAATAAGAAGATATTTTATAAAGAGAGTCCTCTTCGCATATATAGGCAGGAGCCATCTTTAAAAAAAGTCTCTGCAAGTTTGAAACACGAACGCCGTGCCAAGTGACCTGTTCGATCGGAATTGCGTACAGTATGTGAAATCTAATTACATGGAAATGCATGAGTTATATTTGTTTAAGTTTGCACTGTTTTGGGAGAGGGAGGGCATGGGCAAGAGGTTTTTGTAGTGTAGAATGTAATTAATAACATGAAAATAATCAACTGTATCAGCCAGAATTTGAATGTGCATTCTTATATTCTCAGCTCTGTCAAACATTTAGTCATACATAAAACCTTCAAGCCATCAGATTTCCAACAATCAGTTCAGGACATGTGGGGAAAACGTGTGCTGATTATGTGTGGGCTTTTGCAATGAATCATTACAGTTATAAATGATGGCTAATGCCTTTACTGAGAATAAGAGAGACGAGCATTTTTTTTTGAGACTCTCTACCCTTTCGGTTTTTATTTTCTAAGCTTCTTAGACAGTACACCTCTTAAGAAAGAGCACTGGATTTTTTACATTTTGAAATTGATTTTTTTAATTAACTTTTTTTTTTTTTTTTTTTTTTTTTTTTTTTTATGATAATCAGATTTATTTACAGTGCAGCCCAAAAAAAATGCAGTGGCTCCACTATGACCAAGTTCTATCATGAGTAAGGTTTACTTCAGATGTCTGAAGGCCACTGATATCTTCCCTTAACTGCAGGGAGAATGGTTCATGGTGGTTTTGAATGAGTCTTAGCCCCAGTGTGGTGCAAAGAGAGTTCATTCACTGTGGCTGGATAAAGAAGTGTGCAGTGTTTTCAAAAAGTGCTTTTCACCCAGACTGTCTAGACAAGGTAATTACCCATCTACCCTGCACATCACTCATGTGTCCTCAGTAGCTCGTGCTGACAAGAGCCTTAACATTTTTACGGAATGTTGCTATAAAAATATAACTAGCATTTCAAGTGTAAAGAGGATGTTTATGAAACATCAAAATGTGTCAGACTTGGAGGCAATTTGTAGCTTTCTGTCAAATGAAAACATACTGATAACAAAAAGTGCAATTAAGCATGAAGATTGTCATTACAGTCAGAACTTGGATAGGCAAAGCGATAACCTTATATTTCCACAGAGAAGACATAGAAAACAACTAGTTTTCAATGTTAATATACTTTAAAATGTATCTTAGTATCTTATTCCAGTCATGGCAAAGCTGAATTTACAGCAGCCATTACTCCAGTCTTCAGT